CGCGCGCGCGCGCGCGCGCGCGTGCGGGCCTGTATACACACACGGACTTTTTTTTTGGAGTTGTGCATAGCGAACAACACAAACACGTTTTGTTTTTTGTTGTTGTCCCCTTTTCTGTACCTTCTTTCTAGCTTTCTTTCTTCGTTTTTGTGTTCTGCAGCTCTGCGCCTTTCCCCCCAACCAATAGGCAAAATTTCTGCCGCAGAAGACTGGTTGGTCAATTAGCAACCACCTGCCTACAGTCTTCCCCCGATGACGACGTACGGTTATTATAGCTGAATTTGGGGCATCTTTCCGTCTCAATTTAGCTATAATGACCGTACGTTGTATTCGGGGGAAGACTGTAGAGTTTAGCACATGGGCTGTGACCTGCAATGAGCTCTTACTGAGCGCTGACTTGTCCGGACCTGGAATTATGACTGGCCGTGTTTGCTGTTTATGTCTGCCAGTCTCTCAGACCATCCATCTGTCAGAATGCCAATGTACCTGTGTGGAATCAGGGATAATGAATGTCCATCCATCCTATTTATTCCTCTTGTCAGTGGAATCAGAGATAATGAATGTCCATCCATCCTATTTATTCCTCTTGTCAGTCTGTCAGCCTGCCATTCTGTCAATCTGTTAATATGAGTCTGTCAGTTTGTCAGCATGTGAATCATTCTGTCAGCCTCTGTCAGTAAGCTACCGTCTTAACTCGAATACAACGTACGGTAGCTGTATTTGGGACAACTTTGATTCTAGATGCAGCCTTAATGACCACATGTGGTATTTGGGTGAAGAGAGTAGTAAGTCCAAATGATATTCAGTCTGACAGTTTGAATCTAGACAATCTGCAAGGTTGAACATGGAATAGGTAAATTACTAATTACGATAAACATTTTAATTTAAGGACAGGTATTATTTATGTATATCAGTGTATGTATATATACTTATATATGCATACAATTCACCTGACAGTTCTTTGTAACATACATATGTCATGATATGTGCAATATTGGAGGATTAGTTTCTTTGATACCTTTACTTTTGCTATGATGCTAATAGGCAGCATGTCCTTAAATTGGATTTCTGTTTATGAATAATACTACCACCTGCAATTGTAAAAGAAAATAAGTAATGAACACTACAAAAGCGATTGTGTCCTTCGGGACATCCGTTAAAATTGGAACGATAGAGAGAAGATTAACATGGCCCCTGCGCTTTCAAGGATAACACACATAAATCAAGAAATGGTCCAAATTATTAAGGGGAAAAAATCGAATTGATTATTAATCTAGGTGGTGAGAAGTGGGTACGACGTCAGACATCTGCAAAGCAAGTCTGACATTGTTCTTCGAAAGTATTTGCTATTATTCCTTTGATTCCTTTACTATAGGAAACTTGTATCTTTCTTTCGCTAATTCATCTTGATTTATGCTAGGCATGATTATAGCTTTTTTTTTTTTTTTTTTTTTTTTTTTTAAGCAGCCGGGAATTTATTTCTCAGTCCAAGTTGTGTATGGTTATTAGTTGGAGGGATATAAGCATTCTAAGTGCTGGCCAGCTATCAGAATGGTTCTAGGCACAGCGGCAAGACTCCCACAAGAGAGATGGTGGCTCTGTTGTGACGAGTCTTGCCGGAGTGGGATATAGGGACAGATGGCAGTTACATAGTGTAATCATTGTGCTCGGTTGCAATAAACGGTCTCTGGTTTTGCAGATTTACACCCAACAATCAGCATACTATGATGACAGGAAGAGACCAGGTAGTGAAGTCAGTCGGAACGGAGGTTGGTTAGGGCGGCAGTTGGTCGTGTTCCTACCAGATGCCAGCAGCTGGGGTTCCTCCACTTGTGTTTTCCCTGGATTTTGGGTTGTTTTTAGAAGTTTCTGGTAGCGGTGTTTGCGATCTTCTCATAAATTCTTGAATAGTCTAGCAGTTTTTCCACAAGAAGTTTATGAACTCTCAGCCAACGTCAGGTAATGGCCCCGGTATCCCAAAAATAACTGGAGAGGGGTAGGGAGATCATGTTTGGACACCCGCAGTGTGCCTGGTATAGCTCAGTCTACGCTTCGCTGGCCCACGGATGGCCGATGCCAGAACAACGCTGGCTGGTGCTGGGGTGAGGTTTCGCTGCCTCGTAACCTGCTGCTAGGCAGGAGCGTGAGGCCTGGTAGAGAGATCTGGGGACTTGCCTTGGGAGGAGCATTTTCAGTGGCCAGAGGAGGGCCAAGGCCAGAACGACGCTGGTTGGAACTGGGGTGAGGTTGCACTCCCCTATAACCTGTGCTTGTCGGGGGCGTGAAGCTGGGGAAGAGATCTGCGGATGTGGCGTTGTTGGAGGAGGCTCAGTTGGTTTGTTGGATACTGATTGGGTATACTTTTAGCTGGTTTGGGTTTTCTTTGTTAGCCCCGACTTCCCTCCCCTTGTTGGGGGCGCAGGGGTTAAGTGTCATCGGATTGTACAGGTACTGAATAAGATAGGGAGGGGCGTTATCTGTACCATTCTCTCGCTTATTTTGGGTTAGTGAGCCGTAGGTGGTGGTTGGTTGGGTGCAACGCGTCCTGACAATCCCTTTGTCCCATGAGGATGGTTAGAGGGCATAGAAGCAATAAAGATGTGTACATACTCTCTCTTAAACCACTAATACCTCCACCAGTGTTGGGAAAATAGGAAAAACTGGCAGTTTTCCCAAACTCCTAAAAAATTGGAGGTCGGGCCCGATGACGGGTGCCATTTATATATCTCATCGGCGACAGTCGTTTCGTTTCGGCCTCCTAAAAGGTCGAAGGCCCACCCGACGCCCCACTATTTTCCCACTCGGCAAAGATACTAGTGGTTTAACATTTGGCTGAAGTTGTTTCACAGACATAAGCAATTGCGAATTCTTCTGTAGAATTTCAAAGTTTATTCAAATAGTTTTCAAAGAAAAAGTTCGACAATTTTTCATCGATACCCCTGTTGTTTTGAACCGAAGTCGGGTAATGGCACCGGTATCTCAAATTGTTCTATACGTTTTTATAAGGGACATTGGGCCCAGTTCCCAGCATGTGCTCATCCCACCTAATAGATTGGAGCATTGTTCAAAAAATAAAGAAATTATAAGTCATTTTATTGTTGAGATGGCTCGGCTTCCGAATAATATCTGAGACTTTTGCCTGATGTACCTTTTCTTATAATCTATCTACATTTGCGTTGTTTAGTAGACATATTTCCTTCATGATATTTAATTTAATTAAAATGGTTTTATAGCATAACACTCCAGTAAATAAAATCACCACCGAATGAACTCAAATTGTTATAATGAACTAAACGTCATTGTGAATTTTTTTTGTTTATTTCATGGAGTTTTTGCTGATCGTTTTTTCAAAGCCAAAGCATTTCTATGTAGTATATTAGAGAAAAAAAAACACAAACATTTATGAATTTGAATAATATGATTTTTTCGGGGGAAAAAAAACCCAGAGACTTCAAATTTGATATTGATTCACTTAGTTATTGGGTATGAAAGTTTCACTTTGTTTTTAGTGTGATTTGTTGTAATATTTTTTCTGGTCTTTATAACAGGAGCTATGTCGATGGACAATAATTAGTTTGGCGTTTTTGACTCATCATTTTATAATTGATGATTGTTATATCATTGTCTCAATTTTTATTGGGTATGTGTTCAATGGAAACAAACGAGTTTTTCCGGAGCTACTGGGATATTATAACAACCATTTCCAATATTTCAAAACTTTTGTCCACTTTTGTTTTTCGTGCACCTAATGTTTTGGGACATCTTCACAATTATATATGTGCAAATTCTATGTCAATTCCAACTCGGCGGACTCACTTAGTGCTATAATTATATTTTTATACTTTCAATTATTTGTGGGACTGAGACCTTATCAAAGGATCAAAGAGAACGCACTAACATCAAGCTATGAGTCTTAATTGTGTGGAGAATACAACCTGTAAGATTTACTTGGAAAGTCGTACAAAATGAAAACTGCAAGTGTGGCTTGGAGGAGAATAAAAAAACACTATAGAGCGCACATTTCGAAAATTATGATATCCACTGTTATCAAAGTGACCTCGAAACACATTATCCATGTAGTGCATAATCTTAGTCTATATAAGGACATATGCAAAAATGTTTGATCATATTTTCGACATCTAGTTTTGACAACCTCTTTAGTGTTTGTGTAATTGTTTTGAAAAAAACGGTTAATGTC